ACCAGGCTACCTACTTTTCGGCAGAGCTCTGGAGAGGCCCGCGTTAACACAGGCACAGACCTAACTTCTTCCTTAATACTGAAAGTAAAGTTTTTAATAGGATTGCTGCTTGAACTTTATGGTTCTCTGCAAGATCAAGGCAAATGACATCATCTCCATAAGCGAGACCAGTGGCTCTGAAATTTTAAAGGTCACGGTCAATACCTATAGATATATAAAAAAAAGGCAAGACTTCTGAGAAAATACACTACCTTACATAACTGCAAGTTACACGTCAAGCTGTAGTACATAGAAGAGATTAGAAAACGGTGATGATTTTCTCTTTTTATCCCAGTTCTCTTACTCTCTGCTACCGCACAGATTCCCCATTCAATGCATTTCTTTCTCTCTCTCTCTCTTCAGCAACAGCAAAAAGAAAAATATTTTGATAACATTTTGAGAATTTGATTATAAACCCACAAAGCCACAAAAACTGGCGAAGGACCTAGAAGGTGCAGCACTTGAAACTGCCGATTCATTTACCCCGCCGAGTGGATGTCAGACCGTTTCCTTTCGAGAGTCAAACAGTGACTCGGGGTTGGCCCCGCGGGGGACAGAGCCGGCAGCGCGAGGCGGCCCCCGCGCAGCCTCGAAACGCTCCCGCGTGCGGCGCCCTGCGCTGAGCCGGCTGCGGGGGGTACCCTGAGCATGAGGGGCACCCCCATAGCGCCAATATTCACCGCCCGCGGCCGGGTGCGGCGGCCGTGCCTTGCCTTAGTGGTCAGGCCACGGGCGTCGGAGCTGCTCCCCGCGCTCGCTTTTATGGGAGTGCCACCTTGCAAGGCAGAATTAATCATTTACCAGGCAAAAAGGAAAAGAAGAAAAATGGAGGAAGCTCAGCGAGCAGGGCAGGCAGCCTGGGAGATGGGAAGGCTGAGCTCGGGCTGCCGGTGCGGGCAGCGTTTACGCCCTGTGCCGTGGAGAGTCACCTGAGGAAATGCACCGGGCAGCGGGAGTCAGAAACCTCAGCGCTTCCTCCTGTGCCAGCTGATACCTCCACCCTGCAGAGATTGCAGCCCTGCGTCGAAAAGGAGGCCGCCGCTGCAAAGGCAACAGCCTCCCGACAGTGAAAAATGGGTGAAAATCCCTTGGGCTCAAAAAGGAAAACCTCCCCTTACCTGGGGAGGGGGCTTTAGCCAAGGACCAGCAGCAAAAAAGCGCAGTTCCCCCTGGCTGTGCTTCTGGACCAGCACAGCACATAGGCTAGCCTGGCCCTGAGGGTGCCCGTGGCACAGAGACACACATTGGGACCAGTGCTCCTGTGCCCCCATGCTGGGCAGTTGCCCCCTTGCTTAAGTGAAGGCCTGCAGGGACCCAGGGACTTGGGCTACGGGGGCGGTGCAGCAGGCATCGAGGAGATGGGGGATGTACGTCCCGCCAGAGCACCGCCTCATGCATCGAAATCCCTTCTGGGTGTCTGGCCCAGACTGTGGAACGGAATAAAGAACCACAACAAATGATCAAAATGGTCAAAAAAACGTGTGTCTACACATACACGATGGTGCTCATGCCTCCTTTGTGTCCTTTAAGTCCAGTTTTTCTTGAAAAGCTCAAGGATGAAGCCACTGCAAGACCTGCAAGCTGAGCACTGCTAAGCTGCACCTTAGGCTGCATGCCCAAGGAGAGAACCTGTTATTCCCAAACAGGCTTGCTTCTCCCCCGGGTCCTTCTCATTTAGTGCTCCCCAAGTCAAAACTCAAAAGTCACAGGGCGTGCTAGTCCTCGCCAAACTGCTCAGCCATTCTGCAACTGAAACAGCAGGCACTAAAAAACAAAACGAAGCTATTAAGTTGTCAATCAGAAATCATATATTATACTCAAGCACCACGAAATTGAAGAGATGAGCTGCTTCTCCACTTAGTTCTTTTGTAACGTGATTAAGATGTTATCAGGCCAAAGTACAATATTGCGGTATCCTGACCTACGTGAAAATCTTTGAAAGCTGCATTTATTTGCCACCAGAACCACAAGCTAATAATACAGCCTTCATATAGGCAGTTGCATTCCGCGGCTTTTTCTACGTTTTGGTCACCAGCAACACCATGAGGCTGAGCACTGCTGGGGCATCAGCCATCTCCAGGCACCAGGAACAGCGCTCGTCCAGCGACGGCTCAAACCTGAACTCCACCAGGTACCTCCCCTCCCAACCTATGCTTTGCTATGCTTCCTCCTCCTCTTCCTTATAAAGTAAAGAAGTTATGGTTTTATTTCTCAGAAAGCATTGCGAATACAGAGAGCTGATTCAAAACACATAAATAACAACGACACTTCAACCAAATTTCAGACCTGATCATTAGACCCCGACAATAGTCTAAAAGTGTGTGCTCTCCAGCTTGCTTGCTCTGCTCCAGGACTAACTGGGATGCTACCTTCCTAAACCCTGCACATCTACTACACAACTTCTGACAACTTTTAATTCTAGGGGAGTTACAGCACGAGGCAGGAGAAGGCTGCACAGACCCATGATGCTGGTTGTTGGGGAACCCGTGCGATGCAGAGATCCTGCCCACAGCTACGCTCAGGCCCTACATAGTGTGAATAGATGGCAGCTCACTGGCTCCTTAGGAAGAGCCATCTATGAGACTGTAATGAGGTTCATATGCTGGAGATGGCAAGAAGTGCCGAGCTGCAGACAGAGTTCTTCACTAAATTATTAAAGCCTGCTTTTCCACAGACATATCTTGAAAACCAGGAAAGGAAAAAAGAATCAGCACCCTGTGCCATTCTGGATCTCTTCTGCCTGAAGAGGGGATCCCCAAAGGTTTATTTGAAACTTTAGTTTAGTCTTCATGTTTTTGTAATAGCCCAAAAGGTTTTTCTATGTGCTTAATAATCATATGACTCAAAAGGTACAACCTGTTCACCCTGCACAGACACGTAAAAGCTGCAGCAGGGTAATATTTTGCACATCTTTTTCCATATGTACATTACAAATAACACGTGGCCGTAAACGGCATCACATGCATCCAAAATCAGGAGCCTTTGTTTATAGGAAACCTCAATAAACAACCAAATGACTGTCGATAAGCAGCATCTTTTCCTTCTAAAAGCAGGCAGTGTTTATAGTCTTTTATTTACTTTTATTTCTAACTGTGGAGAAACCGCTCCAGCATTTGCCTCATCTGGCCACTCATTCCTGGTAACACCTGCCTTTTCACGTTCTCGATTTTATTAATTATTGTCCTTTACACAACACACCCCCAGGACAATACATGCTTGCAGACTGGATCCAAAGTGCACTGGAGGCAACAGAAGGACTTCCCTGGCTCCGGAGCAGACCATGGGCCCCCACTCCGCGAGCGGGATGCGAGCCTGAGCAGGGACTTACGCACGAGTTAGGCATCCCAGGCCAGAAGCGCAATCCTAAAATCCCTAACCCTTTAGCTGCTCACATTTTAACTAGTGGAGCTCTCCAGAAACCTCGGTTGTTTACGGATTTTCTTTTCCAGTATCTGCTTCATGGGAAAAGACAACACATCCTCAGCAGAGGTCTGTGCAGTACGCACTCAAATGTAGGTCTCCCTCTCCCAAGTGTGGTCCCAACCACTAGCTCCAGAGCCATGAAATATATATACACATACATGCACACACACATACTTTTTTTGCTCCCCCTTCTGGCCCCAGGAATCTCATTTTTTTTTCTTCTTTGTAGAAGCAGAGGAGAAAGGGAGAATGATCCTCTGCTAGAGCAACTTGCAGCAGAGGTCCGCAGCACCCTTTGGGGAGATGTGCAATGTGGATTTCTGCGGAGAAGGGGGCCCCAAAGCGGCTCTCTCCACGACGATGGCAGCGTGCAGGCGGCCGCTAGATGCTGGATGCTGGTCCCCACCAGCCTGCGGGGTTCAGCGAGGCGGAGGCAGCGCCTTCATCTCCTAACAGAGATGGTCAGTGAAGGTGTGTTACCAAAGCCAGCACTAACCTCGGAAGAGACCAAATGCTGAAAATCTAATGCGATCGCCCTTCACAGACACAGAGTTTATAGGCCACATTAACTGGGAAGCAGGCACGGTATTCCTGGACATGTACCTCTCACAGGTGGGCTCCTTAACTGGTTGCACTCACTGTATCTCATAGCAGACAGAACTTGCAATTATCAATCTCTGCCCTACTGTATGCCCATTTTAAGTGACCTCACTTAAATGCCTTATGGGCACTTAGGTCTCAGCCCATACATACATCTTTTCCAGGAAAAACTTGTACTGTTTCTTCCTTCTATCACAACGAAATCATAAGCACACAACATGCTTGGTTTGAGGGACCACATTTATCACAGTGCATCAATTAACAGAGGAAAAAGGAAAGAAACCTCCTTCCAGTGAAATGTGGTTATTTATTTTGGAGAGACAGACAGGGAGAAGACCACTCTGACTACAAGTATAAAAGCTGTCTGTTTTCCACAAGTGGAAATCCTCCCTTTCCGGACAATGCTAAAACTAGCCCTGGCCAGAAGCGAGTTCTGCTCTGGAAACACGGGGCCCTTTGCGCCCGAGGTGCACGCCAGATCCCGGAGGCAGCCGTTCCCGCAGAACAATACCCCGGACGCGTCCCCTGCCCATCTCCGGGCACCTTTGTTTGGCGGCAAGACAAAGGCAGGACTTTCGCACCCGGCACACGCTGCAGAATCCCGCTCTGTCCGTCACCGCAGCCACAAACACTGGATCTGAGGATCATCTGCTGCCCGTTCCCTTCGGCTACAAGTGATGCTGGGTCCCTTCACTTGCTAAGCACGTTCACCCAACGCCAACCAGACGCACGGTGGCCTCCAAGGCACCTGCCTGCGGGATCAGCCCTGCCTCCCCATTCACCCCGGGCTGCTGCCCGAGCCCGAAGCCTTCCGCTCTCCCAGCTTGAGCAGCTCCATCCTCCTCCGCGTGGACACGCGCGGCCCCGGGACGCAGCCCCGGGTGAGGGAAGGGAACCGCACACCCAGGGAAGGGAGCCGCATGTACCAATGCACATACCCATCCGCCGTTGTCCTGGATCCAGTTCTGCAGGTGCCGGTTCAGGTACTCGGTCATCCAGGCGGCGATGCTGTCCACGAGCGGCGACATCTCCCGGTTGACGCTCTCCACGCACATGACGCCGCCGAACTCGAAGAAGGCCACGATCCTCCCCCAGTTGACGCCATCTCGGAAGAGCTCCTCCACCACGGCCACGAAGCGGCCGCGCGCCGTGACGGGCGTCAGGTGCAGCTGGCCGGACATGTGCGCGAAGTCCCTCTGGTAGCGGCGCGAGAACTCATCGCCGGCCTGGCGCAGGGCCAGGTGGACGCCGGGCGGCGCCGGGCGCAGCCCCTCGCCCTCGTTACTAGCAGCAGCCGAGCCGGGGGGCTCGGGGTGCCGAGACACCGGCCCAGTGTGATCAGAGGGAGTCCCAGCAGCAGCAGGAGCAGCAGCAGCAGCAGCAGCAGCAGGAGGGGAGAGCGCCGGGGAGGCCGGCGCGCGGTCGCCGCTGGCCGCCCAGTCGTATCCCCTCTGCGAGAGTTTGTAATGGATGTACTTGAGCACTATCTCCCGGTTATCGTAGCCTCTTCTCCCCGGATGAGCCATAATTTCCAGGAGGAAGCAGCAAGAGGAAGGGAGAGAGGAAGAAGAGGCGCAGGATGAACCCCAAAAAAGTAAAGCAGCCAACGGTAATAAAACTACTAACACCGAAAATTATAATCCAGTTATTGTATCGGGCACGGTTTCATTCATGGTGACGCGGGGGCGTCCTCGGGGTCCTGGAGGTACTTTCGTCGTCTCAGTGTCTCCTCCTCGGTTTGAGATGCACGGCATAAATAGGGATTAAAACGCTGTGAATACTTCACTTCCAGACGCGCATTTATTACTTACTATATATTTACTTTAGAAATATTTCCTCCTCGGTGCTGAAACACATGTTAAAAAATATCATACTTGGGCAAGATCAGGTGCTTTTCCCCTGGGTGCTGAACTACCATGCACGTGAAGGAGCGGACGGACACACACCGTAAAAACTGCAATTCCATATGATTTGCTAAGCAGCCTTGGATGAGCGTTACTCCAACGTGCTCTATGCTAGAAATCTCAACACTGCTTTTTTTTTGTTCTTTTTAAGTTAAACAAAGTATATTTCCTCTGTAAAGTACTTACTTGGACTATAAATATGTTCCTCTGTCAAGTTTCCTCAAAAAAAAAAGAAAAATAGCAACAACAAAACCCAAACATCCCAAGTCTTCGGAAACGTTAAGTTCTGGCTGCTCCAATCCTTCAAGTCACCGAGGGGATGGGAACGGGTTGGAAAAAAAGATATATGTATGTATAAATCACTAGGATTTCGGATGTCTTTGCCCAGGCTCCTGCTTAGCAGACATCTGTGGAGATATGTCAAGGCTCAGAGAAGGCCGCCTGGGAGGCCGGGCGCGCGAGCAGCGCCGCGGAGCCCCCAGAGCCCGCGGACCAGGCGAATGGCACGCACGCGAATCCCGGCGCTCGCCGAAGTGCTCCCTCCGTCTCTCCCTCCAGTGCAACGTGCGGACACGGGCATTGACGTAGTTTCATTCAGACCCCGATCGCAGGAGCCCAGTGCTTTCCACGCACACGTTAAAAAAAAAATAGAAATAATAATAAAAAAAAAAAA